ATTCTGGCCTGAACAGTGGGGGCTGAATGTGAAAATTTCATATTTGCTGGTGAAACTCACAGGCTGTTAGCCCTTGTTCCCCTCAGAGTAGCATTATACTTACATTTCATTGTGAATAGAATAATACATATCATGTGTGATAAATAATGGGTGACATATAATATAGTTATCAGACTACAGGCTCTTGATTATTCCCTTTGATAATTTAGTTTTTAGTCTTTTTACCTCCTTAAAAATCTGAAGAGTTCCAAAGTTTTGTTCCTAGCTCTAACGTTCCAAGTACTTTAGAATCTTTTATGCTACCATTTTGAGTATTATTAATGCATGATCCTCACTAGTTACTTTGTAATTCCAGGGAATACATGCCAACTTTGGAGGAGTTCTTTGAAGAAGCCATTGAACAAGCAGACCCTGAAAATATGGTTGAAAATGAATATAAGTAAGTAATATTTCTCATGAGCTGATTTTAATTTCGTCCAGTATTCTTCCCTAGGCATTTATATATATATATATATATACATATATATACATATACACACACACACTAGCAAACTTATTCAGAGTAGTAATTCTCTTAGGTGAGTTTATGTACCAAGTTCAAAATACTACACATCCTGATTTCAAGGATTATTCCTATGACTATCAAACATGACTTGGAATCACAGTGCCCCTCCCCCATCCCATGTCTCCCTTCAGCTGTTGCCTCTGTTCTCTGTTCCCTTCATGTAATTCTTGCCTTCACTGCCTCACCCTGTTTTTGTCAGCTCACTCCTTCTCTATCACTCCACTGATAAAGCTTCCATCCAGGTCACCTCTTTGACCCCTCAGCAGCATTCACCAGTTGACCTGCTCCATATTGAGATAACATTTTCCCCTCTTGGCATCCATGAAACCACTCTCGTACTATGTGTCATTTTACCTTGCTGCCCTTCCACCTCATTCTCCATTGCTGGCTCTTCACATTTAGCTCTCAAATTTGGGGTAACCTCAAGACTCAAGTTCAGCCTTTTTATCGTAAATCTTCCAGGTTAATACCACAGTCTCATAATTTTAAATAGACATTACAGAGTTGTGATTTAAAGACTAGTACCCTTATTCCCCCCTATCACTTACTGACTAGGTGTCTAGGACTAACTTAGTAATTTCTATGCCCCTTTCCTCATCTGTTAAGTAGTAATAGCCCATTTCACAGGATTATTCTCAGGATCAAATAAAAGGATTCACATTGAACCATTCAATATTCATGACTACCGTGACTCTGTGATAATCTTTTGCAATTACTGTGACCTCTCAACTAGTCCGGGTCAATTTTCTGTGTATCAGAAGAGATCTTTAAAATAAATGCACAAAGGCCAGACATGGTGGTATACCCCTGTATTCCTAGCACTCAGGAGGCTAAGCCAGTATTGAGTTTGAAGCCAGCCTAGACTACATAGATATCCTGTCTATACAATTAAAAACTAGTTAAATTTAATTAAGTCACAAGTCCAATCTTAATACTTAAAATCTTATAGCAAGTACCTGTACCAAACTCCTTCCAAGGTCTTTTTAGTCCCCCTCAGTCTCACACCTGCCTCTCCATCCACAACTTTGCTCCTTTTCTGCTGTAATCACACCAGCTATTTCTGTTCACCTCATAGGCCTTTCCCTTCAGACCTTTGCACTCACCATCCCTCTTGCTTGCACTTCCCCTCCACTGGTTCTGCTCTCCACACCAGTCCCTGTGTGGTATTCCTGTTATTTCCTAACATCTTTTACTATGCTCCATAATTCCTATTGTCATCCTTATCACTATCTAAAATTGTTTTATACCTTGTGTTTATCAGTAATGTTCACCAACACATTCCATGTCACTTGTATGTCAGGGATATGTAATTCCCTGAATTTCTCAGCTAGTAAATGCAGACATTAGACAAGATAGGTGGTTCTAGACTTTTTGTTTTTTTTGTTTTGGTGGCACTGGGGTTTGAATTCAGGGCTTCACATTTGCTAGGCAGGCTCTCTACCACTTGAGCCCCTCTGCCAGCCATATTCTTAAAGTGGTAGTTATCTAGGATTGGCTTAAGAACTTGTATGTTACAGATCTGTGAAAAACAAGCACATTCCTATGTATAATTGACAGGGAATTTTGAAGGTGCTTAAAAGAACCAAGTGGTTTAAACTCAGGTGTCAGAGAGGTAGGCAAAGAAAGCCACATAACAGGTGCAAACTATCTGGGGATAATTTTGGGGGTCTTTAGTGATACAATCACATCTTAAGGTAATATAGACCAAATAAATGAGATTGCTAATCTGTGAATTTAGCAGGATAGGGGAGACGTCCAAAAACTAAAAATGAAATAAATTTGTGCTTTAAATTTTTCTGCAACTTTGTCTGTTTCTGCTGCATTACCTTTTTTCAGAAGTTCACTGTTTCTGCTGCTGCTGCATTATCTTTAGAAGTTCTCAGGTTTCTGTTTCTTACCTCATCTAATTGCTACATTTCATTAGGGAGTGGTTCATGATTCCTTTCTTGATATCACAGCCTTTCTTAACATCACTGCTTGCTGTGTTAGCTAATGGCATTTTGAGCCACCATTCAGGTTGATTTTTAGCTGAATGAATGTTTAGATATTGCATAAATAGGAAACAGGTAAAGGCTGAAGTATCCCTTACCCGGAATGCTTGAGGCCAGTGGTTTTTTTCATTTGAAATACTTGCATAGACTTTAGCAGTTCAGCATGTTGATGTGCTCAAAGTTTTAGATTTAGAGCATTTTAGATTTTTGGATTAGGTATGTTTGACCTGTTAGTCAAATTAACATCATAAACTGAGCTTACAAAATACTCTAAACTCACATCTGTAGGAAATGTTGCAATTATTGGGCTGTACTCACTGAACAGAGCTACCTGTTGAGTTTTTAAATTTTTCTTTCAAAGAACTTGATGGGTGGTTCCTCTTCTACACATATAGCATCTAGCCAGCACTGGGGATATATAATATTCATTGTTGTTAGAGTAAAATGTATGTAAAACTTTCAAAATGTGTTTTCTGCACTTGATCCTAACTCTTAGTTTTATGATTATGAATGCTGGTTTCTATTATTGAATGTGTGGACTGCACACTGAGAGGTCCTTTAGGAGTAAAATTAAAATGAAAAGAATGGTACTTTGAGCAGTTACTTGCTGTGGAGTGTAAAGTTTCATATGGCAGAATTATATTAAGTAGAAGGGAGTATAGAAATAGAAAACTTTAAGTTACAAGACTGACATCTCTTTTCCTAGAGCTGTGAATAATTCAAATTATGGTTGGAGAGCCTTGAGACTATTAGCACGAAGAAGCCCTCACTTCTTCCAGCCAACCAACCAACAGTTCAAAAGTTTGCCAGAGTATCTCGAAAACATGGTAATAAAGCTAGCCAAGGAATTACCAGTAAGTAACATACATAATTTTCCATACTCCATGTTGACATTATCTTCTTTAAAACTGCCATCACTTTTTGAGCAAATAGCTGAATTTAGTTTCTCATGTAAAAAATAGTGATCCACAAACCATGTTTTAGAATGGGGAAAATGCATCTGAATATACATTTACAGATCTGTGAACTAGGTAATTTAATACATGTTCAAAATGCTCTTTGGGCAAAGTTACTATCGACCTGTAAACTCAGACATTTACCCTGTTTGCCAAGGCAGTATACTGTCTCTTATCAAAGACGGGGTCAGAGGAGTAGGGCACTTGGCCCATCTTTGCAGTACAAGTTACAGTCTGGTAATAATGGATACCTTACTTATCTAAACCCTACGTATCTGCAAATCAGCTTACTATGCTTTTCACTACCTTCCCTATGCCCATGCTTGGGGGTTGTGGGAGAAGTTCTAAGCCCAGCACTGGGAATGGTATGAACTCTCAAACAAAAGCATCTCTTGTTATCTTACTTAAGAAGCTGGCATTCTTTTAAATGTTCTTCTTTCTCATCTTTAGCCTCCTTCTGAAGAAATAAAAACAGGTGAGGATGAAGATGAGGAAGATAATGATGCTTTACTGAAGGAAAATGAAAGTAAGAATTGAATTTTCTTGGCAATTTTACAAAATTGGAAAAGATTGGGGTTCTTTGTTGAGAGGTATGTTATTTAATTTGACCTACTTCTCAACTTCTACATTTTTATCTCACCTCTGCTTATAGTGAGGAATTAAAACTACTACTTAAAATATTACATTTTGTGTAATTAAATTGGAAGTGATGTATTTTTACAGGGAAAGAAGATACTGATTTTAAGGTACCACCCTACTTCTTCTTGGGAACTGGAAAGGAGCAACTCCTTTCAGGGAAAGTCTTCATTACAGTAGAAGGGATGATCTAATTATCATGAATTGTAAGGGCAGAATTCAAACCCCAGCACCACAAAAAAAAAAAAAGTTTTAATCTAATACTTTACTGAGGTGACTAATAATCCAAAGGCCCCTTAGCGTCCCAGTTCTGTTATATACTTACAGTCGTACATGTCATTTGTACGTAACTTATATTCTCTGTTTTCTAGGTCCTGATGTTCGGCGGGATAAACCTGTAACAGGGGAACAGATAGAGGTATTTGCCAACAAGCTGGGTGAACAATGGAAGATTCTGGCTCCCTACTTGGAAATGAAAGACTCCGAAATTAGGCAGATTGAGTGTGATAGTGAAGATATGAAGATGAGAGCTAAGCAGCTCCTAGTTGCCTGGCAAGATCAAGAAGGAGTCCATGCAACACCTGATAATCTGATTAGCGCACTAAACAAGTCTGGATTAAGTGACCTTGCAGAAAGTTTAACTAATGACAATGAGACAAATAGTTAGCTTCTTTCTTTTTTTCTTTCTTTTTTTTTTTTTCTTTTTATTAAAACTGTGATAAGATTTTGTTACCAAGCAGCATTTGATAAGAGGTCCACTGGTTTTGGTAAACAATAAACATTTTTATAACAGTTGTTGTACAGTTGGCTGGTGCTCCAAAAACAATAGAACACACATTGGCTCAAACCTCAGGGTTTGGGGGATAGAAGGGTGGGTTAGAAAAATGGCCAAAGTGGAGTGACCTCAAGATCACAAACTTTATTTTTGTTAAATATATTTATTATGAAATTAAGCAAGCACTATTTATGGATGCTGTATTCTTACACCAAGTTTCCTGCATGCTGTTTGTTAGTAGTTATAAAATTTAGCTCTTCTGAAATCCCAGAATGATTTTTTGAAGTCTTAAGACTGTTCTTTTCCATGTTTTAAGGCAGAATACCAGTAGTGCTCTGCTATGTGTTTTTATAATTAAATTTTTATTGGCACCCAGCTACACTTACTCCTAATGTCTATGTCACCTGTTAAACACTACAGTAGAAAGTTACAGCTGATGGCCTGCCTACAAAGCCTAAAATATTTACTATGTGGCCTAAGACAGAAATGTTTGCCAGACCTTAATTTTAAAAGAAATGAAGTCTAAAACCTCATTTTTTATGCCTTCTAAAAATCATTTGACCTCTCAAGTCCTTAAACTATGCCAGGAATTACTGAAGTTTAAATGAGATGTATGTGTGAGCACTCTGTACACAGCACAACACTGTGTAGTAATGGCTGAAGATGATAGGTAGTGTCACCTACTGTTCCTACACAGCAGCTCCATGAAGGGCACTCAGCCCAATAAGCTTAGGTCACTCTTGATGATCCTAAAAAGAGCTACTGAGCACAGAACACTGTAAATGCTTTTGTTTGGGCCTCATTTCCAGTAGCGAGGTAAGAAGTGACCTAGCATAGTTCTAACATTGAAAGGGCCTCAGTGTCAGTGGCACAGCAAATATAAGGCACATTCAGGAATTGAGATGACTTTTGCCTACTCTCCCTTCTCAAAGACCTATGCAAAGCTGAATTCTACAATAGCCTTAGTTCTAAACAACACTGGTAGATATCCAATTTCTACTTTAAGAATGTCTTTGGGATAATGCTTTTTTGGAAATCGAGCTTTTTATAATGACAAGGAAATACAGTTTTTAATTTTAAAATTCTTAATACATTCTATACAAGGCTTTTCCATAATTTACCCTAAACCTACCTCACCTGATCATCCATCAGGTCAGAAAATCTGAATTCTGATTGCTAAATTTATTCCTTCTAAAAATTGTTCAGACCAAGTAAGACAATAAAAACAGAATGCTAACACAGGCATCACACAAACATAAATCATTAAAATTCTTAGGATGTCATTCTCCCCATTTTATTTTTTGAACTCTCCCACCAAAGTAAAGTATTGATTGCCAGTAGTCAAGAGTTTAGTTCAGGATATATTTACAAAAGCATATCCCTGAAATGTTCATTTTTATCTCCTAGTGTTAGATTACAGACTTGAGAGGAAAATGGCCATTATTTTCTAGGAATCTTAATAGTTACTAGTGTTGTAACTCTGCAGAGTATTAAAACAAAATAAGCAAAGGTAGATGTCATGATAATCCTCAGACCAATTAACTAATAAGTGATCCTTTTTCCCTTCCTCAGCAATCCATCAGGGCTCCTAAAACAAGGATCAATAACAAATTAGAATATATTAAAATACACATAACTAATCATACTCAGATATCTTGTACTCTTGGTATTTTCTACCACAACTTTAAAATCACTGATAATAAACTTTGAGATGGACGTCAGGACTTTGGGAACAGGAGAGTAAAAACAAATAACAAATGAGCCAAGGAATGAATCAATACACATCACTGCATTCAGCATCCAAAGGAATCCATTATTTTTACAACTCTGCATTGCTTTTTGAATGGAATATGGGCAGGCAAAGATACTAAGTATTTTAAATGGATGCTTCACAGTACAGTAGTATAACCATCTGCAAAAGTTGTATAGTATTAAAACATATTGAATCTTTAGCCAAGCTCCAACACTAAAGACAAAATACTAGAGGTCAAAAGCTGTTAATCTCCCCCCCCCATTTTTTTTTAATTACATATCCTCATTTTCTAAAAATAAGCAACCAGAGCTTAACATTTTTTAAGACTGATTACTATAAAATCATTGGAAAGTTAAATGTACAAACCATAGTACATCAGAGAGACACAATAATAAATGTATAATCAATGTACTCTTATTGATCACAATTTATTTTAAAGTCGTGAAAAGCCAGCAACAGTTAGGCTGGACAAATACTTGATTGCACCCATGTATGGGATGTGGACAGCAGCACTCAAGTTACATGATGAGAGCAACACTTCCTTTTCCATCTTCCTGGAAAAATATTGGTTAGATAAGGCAGAGGATGGACAGCTACTGAATGGTGATGTGAACCATGCAAGAATAACAAATAGTAGGTAATAGGTATGCAATAAACATCATTGCTGAATCTTAGGCTGAAAAGGTGAGGAAAAAATTGACCACAGAAGGTAATGGTTGAAAGGCTTTTTAAGAATGCAAGAAATAAGGTTTTACAGAATGTCTTCTAGCCACCTTTACACAGGGCAGCATTTCCAAAGGTAAGTTTCTATAATTTTCAGGTTGATGCACAAGTGGGTCTGATTCTGCTCTCTCTTGTTCCACATGAGAGGAAACAGATAAAACCACTTTGTCCTCCTTTAAAGCTCTGGATTATAGAAATGATCAACAAGTAACATGTATTTCACACCTAAGCATAAATAGTAAATTAAAGATTATTGTTCACTTTCTTCTTCCATTACTTCAACTCTGCGAGGCCCATAAAGTAGAACATAAGCAATGTGCCAGTCTCCACCACCAGACAGCCGCAGGATATCTTCTGGTGTTACAATGCTGACCTTATCATCATCAAACTTGATCCATTCATCTAAATAACAAAAGAACATATTTAACACAAATCTTTTCAGAGTTTCATTGCAAAACCAACACCAATTTGATGCACAGCAATACTCTGGCATCTGCCTACCAACAACTGTCTTCCAGGTTGGTCCAAGGACCGCACATGTTGAGAATATCTCAAAGGTTCCACGATGCCACAGCTATTTCAATACTGCTACGACAGCATTATTGCCTTTTCTACCTGTGTTCTCTCAAATGCACTTTGGAGTGTTCCAGAACCTATGTGCCATGTGACACTGGAACAGATGTGAGTTAAGAGTTGTAGCTCAGTGGTAGAGAGCTTGTGTAGCATATGCAAGACCCTACACTCCATCCCGAGCACCACACACAGAGAAAAAAAAAAAGTCAGATATGAGAACCCAGCAGTATTATATTAAGCCAGATAACAGGACGACTTATAAAAATGTCAATTGGCATCTTTTCCCACTAATTTTGTGTGTTGGAAAACATCATTTAAAAAACTTTATTAACATGTATTATGTTTATTACTGTTAATTTTTAGTGAATTTAATTTTTCAGCCTTAATTGCTAATACTGGAAATATTAAGGTGTATAAACCTCATAAAAGCTCTAGAGCCTTTAAAAATATACAGAAAGTTCTGAGACAAATCTCTCAGTGCTGTAAAATTTATAGTAAAACTATTCAACAACTGAAAAACAACAGACTCTTTACCTTGTTTTCTTTTCACCCATGATACATAATGACCTGAAGAACTAGACCTTCCCTGGTGTGTTAGCACAGCTTGCAAGTCATAGTATCCACAATTATTGGAGCCGATATCTAAAGAGATGTGAATCCGTAAATGTCAGACAATGAATAAGCATGTTTAACTCAAGCAAGATAACAAGTATAACCCTGGAGTTCAGATTAAAGAAGTACTACTTTATTAGAATCCAATAAGATATTACTGTGATTAGAGTTAATATTTCATGAATAATGCTTTAAGAAGTTTATCACCTATGACTACACTAAGTAATTTTACAGGATGTCATGTTAAATAATTCAAGAAACCTGACTCTTAAAAACAAGAATGATACTTTAATAAATGTGTCAACATAAGTAATTTTATATCAAAACACACCCACCCACACACAAATGAAATTTTCACTTACCATCTGCAAATGAAAAAGGTTCATACTTAACTTCCTTCTGGGGACTACCCTTCTTGTCACACTGGGAAAGAAAAATGTTTAATTTTAAAACATAATAATAGAAATAACATTTGTATTGTTCAGTATTCAATTCCACCAATATTTACTGTCCACAAAGCACTAAAAGTAATCTACCTTATAAATTACTTAAATAACTACACTAGCATAAAACTGTGAGCCAGACATCCTACTCTTTAATAATATAACAATATTGCCAAAATACAACAGCCTCCCTGTGACAATAAGTCACTGAAGGAAAAACAGAGCAGTTATCAGTGCTCTAAGGTAGCGAAGGGAAACCCAAATCCATAATTTTACCAAAGTACTATAAGCCAAAAACAGGTTAAGTTAAATTAATCTACTAAGCCACACCACTTGAAATCCAGTAGCTGGAATACTTACTGAGCAAAGAATTTCTCTATATTAAAAGAGGTATGATTTACTTCATGACAGGTACCTTTAGTAGGAACTCACTGCCTCAACCCACTTCAGTGTATAAGATGAAAAGGGTAACAATTTAGCCAGGGCTATGGCACAAAGTTCTTGAAAACTATAATGGTAACAAAGACCATAGCAGCAGTTTAGAGACAGCTGAAGTGGCAAAACTGAAGGAATCCCACAATAAAAAATAGCAATTAGGTCAACCATTTCTTTTACATAACATAGATTATGTCTACAGCAACCACTATACAAAGAAACACATTAAAAACATGTACATAAATCAAAACATAACTTTTAAAAAAAAAGCCCAAAAGGTAACCCAAAATATGGCAAAAACAAAAACATTATGAAATAAAGTAGACTTAAACACTAATACAGCAATAATTGCACTAAATGTAAATGGTCTAACAATTTAAATCACATGTGGTCTCTCACAACAATAGTATAAAACTAGAGTCAACAACAGATAACAGCAAAATTATTTAGACCTTTCTAAATCCATACTCTATAGAGGAAGTCGCTATAGAAACTGTTACAATATAAGAAACAAACTTAAAATGAAAATACAATATATTAAATTTCTGGGACACAGTGAAACCACTTTCAGTTAAAGAGACAGTTATAGTAATAAATATATTGAGAGGAAGTGTGAAATTAATAATCTAAGTTATCACTTCAAAAATATTGAAAAAGAATAAAATTAATCTGAAGCAAATAGAAGAGACCAAAAAAAGTCATAAAATTAAAAACAGAAAATAGAAATCAACAAGACAGAGCTAGTTATTTGGAAAGATCAATAAAATTAGCAATCTTCAAACAAAAAGAGTAAGACACCAATTACAATTATCTATATTAGACATGTAGTGGGTTAAATAACTACACATCCTGAAGATATCAAAAGTAGAACAATAATTCCACAAATTTGATAAACTAAATGAAATTGATCAATTCTGCAAAAATAAGGACTACCAAAACAAATCCAATATTAAGGCATGGCTCTGCTTTGCAAGTGGAAAGCCCTGAATTCAAACTTCAGACCTATGGGGGGAGGGTTGGGGATCATGAAATAGATCATTTGAAAGCCCTATACCTAAGAAGGAAATTCTATTTGTAATTTATAAATTCCTGAAAAAGAAATCTCCAGACACTGATTATTTCCAAATTATCCCAAATATAAAACAATTCTATACAACTTTCAAAAAATAAAAGGAAAAAAAAGAGCTAATAAATGAATTCAGCAAAGGTGAAAAATAAAATATTTAAGAACAAAGTTAGAAAGTTCATACTTCAAAATTTCAGTCCTCAACTGAGCACTGGTGACTCACACTTGCAATCCTAGATACCAGGGAGGCTGATATCTGGAGGATCGTGATTCAAGGCCAGCCAGGGCAAATAGTTCCAGAGATACCATCTCCAAAGTAATCAGAGTAAAACTGACTAGAGGAAATGCACATGCAAACTAGTAAATCTGACCATCACATCATATCAAAAAGTCAACCCAGAATGGACCAAATATCTAAATGGATGAACTAAAACTATAAAAATTTTAAAGGAAAACATAGGTATAAATCTTCATGGCCTTGAACCTAGGCAGTGTTTTCTTAGATAAGACACCAAAAGCATAGCAACCCAAAACAAAATAGATTGGATTTCATCAAAATATGTTTTTCCTCTGCAAAAGGCACTAATGTTAAAGAGGATGGGCCAGGCACAGTGGCAAATACCTATAATCCCACCTACTTAGGAAGTGGAGATCAGGAGAATCGCTGTTCAAGGCAGCCAGGGCAAAAAGTTATTGAGACCTCATCACGAGCAACAAGCCAGGCATAGTGAGCACATTTGTGATTCAAGCTTTGTGAGTGCCACAGATGGGGGAACTGCAGTCTGAGGGTGGCCCTAGACAAATGAGATCCTATCTGGAAAAATAACTAAAGCAAAAAAAGGGTAGGGGGAGTAGCTCAAGTAATCTAGAGACCCTGAGTTCACATCCCAGTACCTAAAAAAAAAAAAAGAGAGAATGAAAGACAAGCTACAGACTTAAGAGAAAATATTTGTAATCCATATAACTAACAAAGAGCTAGTATTGAGAATAGAAATATGTCTGACAACAGACAAGAGACATTTCGCTGATGAGGGTATAAACATGGTAAAACCACATAAAGACATGTTTATCATCATTAGCCACTAGGGAAATGCCAAGGAAAACATGAGAGATCACCACAAATATGGCTAAATGAAAAACAGTCACAATACCAACTTCTGGTGAGAATATGAAGAAAGTGGATCATCACCTACTGCTGATACCTACGATGATACAGCCACTTTAGAGACATTTGAAATTTCCTTAAAAAACCAAACACCATTCACTATAGCAACTCCACTCCATTCATTCTAGGGAAATTAAATCTCATATTTATACTAAAATCTGTACCTAAATATTTATATATGCCAGACAAAAACTGGACAATCCAGGTGTCCTTCAATAGGGAAATGGTAAAGCAAACCTTGACATACCCACACAGGGACTACTTAGGAATTAAAAAGGAACAACTACTGATACACAAAAGAACCTGGATGAATCTCCAAGGAATTATGCTTAGTGGGTAAAGTCAACCCCCCCCCCACACCAAGAAAAATGGAGTTTTGGTTTCATTTATATAACTGTCTTGAAAAGAAACATAGCAGAAACGGGTCTATGTGTACAAAAGGCAATTATGAGGGATCTTTCTGGTGGTGGAGACGTATTGCATCAACATTAATAACCTGATTGTGATGTTGCATTATAGCTGCGTAAGATATTACCACTAGAGGAAACTAAGCAAAAAGAACTCCAGACCTCTGTTCTATTTCTCATAACTGCCTCTGATTCTCAACAGGAATTTTAATTCTATAAAAAGTGTTTTTTTAACAATACATCCAATGATAAGCTGAACAAATTTTTCATTCTTAAGAAAAAAATTGTTTTCCAAGATGGCGGCTAGAGGGAGGAAGCAGAAAGCATGTCTCCTAAAGTGAATCTTGGAGAGAAGCTAGAGACACACCTTGCAGGCAAGGCCACCAAGAAGAGGCAAAACTTTGACCCCTCCACACCTCCAGCCTACAGAGCATCTCCACTTCAAATTGAACGGAGAAACCAGGAGGGCCCCTGGGCCGCCATCACTGGCACCCAGGCGGACAAGGTGAGCTAAGCGGTACACGGTACTTCCACAGACATCCCTGGGCCAGATCAGTGTAGCCCCCTGTACAGACCGACCCAACCCGGGGAAAAAAGAGAAAAAGAGTAATAAGCAATAAGAACAATAAAGACGTGTAGCAAAGAGATTCGGGCACCCTGAGCACCGAAGAAGGGGGAAGGGGAATCTCTCCCGGAATTGTAAATAAAGAAGCCGGGCCTGGGCGGAGAGGGCGCGCACCTAGCAACCAGGAGCGGGAAACCTTGTGAGAGTGGTCAGGAAGGAAAACTCCACAGGAGGGGGGGAAGACCCACCATCCTCCACATGAGCTGTAAACAAACACACCTGCCAGCAGGAGCAGCAGCACATGCCCAGCAATCAGGAGCGGGAAAGCTTGTAAAAGCAGCAGTGGGAGGAAACCTCCACAGGAGAGGGGGGAAAGCCCACTTCGCACATGAACTGTAAATAAACACACAGACCTGAGAAAGCAGGTGCAGTGTCACCTCACCCAGCGTGCTTGGGAAGGGGACACCTTGTAGCAGTGGCATCGTGCACAGAACTCTGAGTAAACAAAGCCTGCAGGGCCAGGTGAGTGTTAAGCTCACCTCAGAGATCTGCATGAATAACGCCTCCAGCAACAGCAGGCTGACAGCAGCGAGCAGGCAAGCCACACTCGCAGATACCATTCTCAGAACTGTCTCCAGACTCTTTTTTTCTCTCTCCCTACCTTTGAAGAGAAAACAACTGACCTACACCTGCATGCTCAAAAACTTACTGAAACTGTATTGCATTTGAACTTGGGACACTTCGAGGGTTTTTTTTTTTTTTTTCTTTTTCTTATGGTACCCCTTTGATGAGACAGCTACAGAACATCTGAGGCACCATCTCCAGGATTGGAGGCTAAGGGACGAACACCAAAATTACTAAGAATGAAACTTCACTGCATTCGAACTTGGAGGGTTTGTTTTTTTCTTTAATTTTATTTATTTTTTAATTTTTTATTTTAGATATTTCATTTATTTTTATATAAATATATACATTTTTTCTTTATTTTTATTCTTATCTTTACTCTTTTTATTTTTTATTTTCAATCCTCTCTGTCTCTCTAATGCCTTTTCAGCTTATTGTTGATTAGTACACTGTCTCTCCCTGTTTATATCTTTGAACCCTTTTTGTTTATTTCTTTGTTTTCTTTTTGGTGTTTTTTTTCTACTTGATTATTTGTTTTTCCCTTTTCCCTTTAACTTCTTTGCTTTCCATCTCCTCTCACCCTTCCATTCTAAATATCACTAGTGCTATTATTATAGCCATAAAATACGTAACTGCACACAGTACAGGGACAATAACAACACCAAGGGCAATCATGGGAAGACAGAAAAAACAGGGAAACCAGTTTCCCCACAGCAAA